TTAATTAAGAATTAATAATTAAGAAATTAAGAAATATTTATAAATATGAAAATAGGAAATAGGAAATATGAAATTACGTTGCGGCAAGGTAATTAAAATCGTTTACACATTGAGCAGCAAGGTAATACACATCACAATTATACCTTCTTTGGATTTTCGATTAAGAATATTGTAAAATATTAGAATTAGGAATTAAATAAGAATTAAAAAAAATAAGAAATTAAGGAATATTAAGAAGAAATAAAATTTTAATATCATCAAAATTCAATATAATCATCTGATCCTTAATGCTGGCTGGAATTATTGTTAAATACTATTTCTTTCATCCGTTTCGGTCGTTTTTTGCTTGTTTCAATCCTTAATGATATGTATATATGTAATAGTTATTTACCGTGAAATCAGAGATATAATCTGGGAATTATGAAGGTATCGACGGTTGAGCGGTAATAACTGATTTTATATCCCGAGTACTACTATACATATTTTCCCAAAAAAATTAGAATACATAATTAAAATAGGCCCATCATGTCCATCATGGGATTTTCCGTTGTCTATGGATCCCGACAAAGCAAAAAAAAAAAGTGATAAACACGAAAAATGCAAGAAATGGATGCGTGTTGGGGAGGCAATTTTACATAACATATACTTAAATCCTTACCTACACTACTCTCACTCTAACATTAATTAATTTCGCAAATTCACGTGATAGACTTGGCTTTCAAATCCAAATCAAACCCCAAATCCCAAATAAGGAAATCTATCATTTGATCAGATTTTGCTAATAATTAAGTAACAGCGACCTAAGATCACTTTCCATTTTGGATATCTAGAGTGTTCTTTCTCATATGATTGGAGAGAATTAGAACCTTAATTCGTGATCCGTGATAGAAGTAAACTGATAAAGTCAAAAGTGAAATCTGTGTTTGCCTTATATATAGTGAAGTCATGAACTATCAAGAAAGAACATTTTTTATTTTATAAATTTAAAGTTGGTACTGATTTGTAATTACAGTTTAGTGAAATTATTCTTTAATCAGTAATGATTTCCCCCAGATTTTACTAATTAATTTGTTTACTTCAATCACAGATCACGAATTAATCGTTAATCATATTTTTATGCAAAATTTTCATTTGTTTGTTATTTGCTAATGCACAAATGTTTAATCGTTTATTTTCAGATTGATTATGCTATCGGATTTATTGCGGCACGATGTTTTATATTTTATAAAATACGTAGAAATACGTAGATCTTGTCTTTTGAATTAAAATTTCTTCTTTGGCTTTACTTGCGTGGTTCTCTTTTAGCCAAATCGATTATTAAGAAAATATTTGGAATGATTTGAAATGAATAGTTGGCTATTTAAAGTGAAAAACTAATATTCGTAGTTCGAAGAAGTGAATTCTGATATACTGTATCTTATCACTGAACATGTTAAAAATGATAAAATGATAAAAAATAACGAAGAAAATTTACATTTCTTTATTTTGACGAGCAATTTTGAACAATATACAATTAGAAATTTTATCAAATTAATTAAATGACAATTTTTCGAATTTACTATTTTTTAGTAGAAATTAGATCGTTAGCAGACGACGTAGAAGATATAAGTGAATTATTATTTTTTAATCGTTCTCTCTCCTCCACGCTGAATGTTCTACTTTTTCTTTTAATTTTCCTATTAGCTATCGTACTAGGTTTTGGAGCATATCTAGGAGAAATGGGAGAAACGGGAGTAATGGGTGAAGCAGGAATTTCTTGATTATTATTATTATTATTATTTATTTCGACAAGTTGAATTGGACTTGGTTTTATTCGAATTGTTGTGTTACTACGACGTTGAATTATTGTGTCGCTTCGTTCAAGTTGTCCATGTTGAGGAACCTGAATTGGAGGAATTTGAGGAGCATATTTCATAATGGCATTGATATTCTGAGATTGTTGAGAAGAAAGGATTTGAACACTACGTCTGTCCTTTGCAAATTGGTTTATTTGACGATTGTCGGATTTGATGCCAGTAGTCGTTGCCCGACGACGAACTATTTATAAAATAAATATAAAATGTAAAAACTTGTGAATGGAAAGAATGAATTGAAAGATAATATAATTTATAACACTTACGTTGAACGTCTTTTAACGAATAATCTTTTTTTTATAAAAAATATATTTATATATTAATGATAAATGTAAAGAATATAAAGATCAAAATTGAATAAATTAAATAAGTTAAAAAATATAAAGTGAAATCTTTACCATCTTGATCATCTTCGTCTTCTGGTATTATAGGATTTTTAGGTTGAGGCAAATTCTCAAATGATAATCTTCTACTTGAATAAATAGCTTTTGGATGTTGAAAATTATTATTCTTAGCGACATTTCTCATCCAATCATTCTTTAATATCATATTCATCATAGTTAATCTTTGACTTTCCGCCTTATTAATTTGTTTTTTGTATTGTGGTATTTCTTTACATTCTCTAACCATTTTTAATAATTCTTCAATTGTCGGTCTTGCTTTTGGATCTGCATCCCAACATTTTCTCATCACATTCACATAACACTTAGGAGTATCATTTATAATTTCAGGTCTTAAACCATTACAAATAGATCTTGCAAGTTCTTCATCATGAGATAAATTTTGAAATGGTTTTTTACCAGCAGCAGTAATCTCCCACATTATTATTCCTAAACTATAAATATCTGATGATTTTGTGTATTGAAGACCATGCAATACTTCAGGAGCTATATAAGGAAGTACTCCAAATACAGTTCCTTTTTTTTTATTGTCATCGTTATCATTATCATCATCATCATCATTATTATAATTTATTCTAAGATCTGAAATATATGTATCCAAATTATCGCTATCGTGCCCATAACCATGTCTTAAAATGTTCCCACTGTGAAAATCTTGATGAACCAATCCAATCGAATGTATGGTCTTTAATCCTAATATAATATCTTTTATCATATTTATTCGCTGCCACCAATCAAATCTAAAAAATGATTCTTCAATATATTTTCTTAGATCACCTTCACTGGCGTATTGCATTACTAAAATATAATTATCTGTATAAGGTTGTTGACTTATTCCGTAACATGGTAGTATTCGAAAAGAGTCCATACATTGATAGTAAATCCTTAACTAACAAAAAGAATAAAAAAGATAATAAGAATCAATAATAGAAAGAATAAAAAGAATAAATTAAAAAGAGAATTAATGAAAAAGTAATAAATACCTCTTTTAAGAAATTTAAATTTTTGAACCCACTATTCGTTAATACTTTGAGTACCACGCGTTTTTTATTCCAAACTAAATCATATTTTTGTTCCGGAGCGCCATTCCAAATTGCTGAATAAACAATACCAGATCTACCTTTTCCCATTTCCATCAAATTACTGAATTCTGTAAATGGGATCCATCTTATAGATTTATCAGCATTTTGTTGAGAAATTTCATTATTATTGTCATTATCATCTGTTTGAGAAGAAACGTTGGTATTATTATTATTATTATTAGAAACTTTGATAGAGAAATCTGTTAATTCTTCGAAGAATTTGTCAATCTCCGGATTGCCGCTAAGGAATTTATTCGTAAAGATATGATCCGATGTGAATTTATTCATTATTTTTTTTTTGTAAGAAGTTAAATTTTTGATAATATTTTAATAAAAATGGTTAGAATAATAAAAATTTCGATAATTTGAAATTTCGAGTTTCGGTTATATAATAAAAGAATAATATATAATTTAAAGCATTAAAACTCTAAACCCTTCTCCTAATATAGTAAACTAGATTACTAAGTATAGAATAATAATCCTTAATATTATATATGTATAATATGTGCTAATCGTGAAACAAAACTTTAAACAGTTCCAGGAGAAACAAACAAACAAAAAAATTATTGTACCATAAAAAGAATCCCTATATCATAAAATTGACGCATAAAATTGGCATAAAAATTTATCTTTGACAGAATCAAACCCAAAAAAATGGTAAAAATCGATCAAAAATAGGTTGAAAAATAGAAATAAAGTGAAGGTAAGTTTTGAAATTGTTTCACGTATATCAATGCACTATAACTATATTTCCTATATTTATAATTTCCTATTTTTATATTTCCTGTATTTATATTCCTATATTATTTATGCTTAAATATGATATAATTTATATATAAACTAAAATTATATTAAAAAATGAATTTGAGTTTTTAATAAAAAATGAAATGATATGTTGTCATAATCGGAATTAAATAAAAAGTGTATGTGCTAGAAAATATTATGTTTGGCGTACCTTTTTAAAAGAATAATAACAAATTCTTTATTTTATTAATACGTTTCTTTAAAGTTTCTTTTAAGAAAATGCTTAAGTATACAAAAAGGAAACTGATATTTTTAAGTTCTAAAGAAAAGAGGTACAGAGAAAGAGAGAGAAGAAAATCTTATTTTTTTTTTTTTTATTTTATTTTTTTTTTTTTGATGAAGGTAAGAAAATAAAGTGATGAAAGTATGGCTTTTTATAATGTTTATTAAATTTAAGTCACGAAAAATTAACACAAATAAAACTCATTGATAAAATAAGATTAATGAACTAGGAATATAAATACTTTTAAAATAAAATATTAATACTAAAAAGATTTTTGAGATATGATAAAATTGTCATAAAAGAAGTTCTTTTACAAAAAAAATAAGACTAAATTTGACTAATAAGTAAAAAAGTAGGTTACTTATAGCACTTACTTGTCATAATTTATGTTGGAAAATGTTAATAATTATTGATTAACGGAATTGATTTTAAAAAGCATGCAAAGAAATATATTTCATGTTGAGTCACAGGAATCGTGACGCTTACTTGCTTGCGAAACAACAAACAACCGATAAACTAGTTATTATTATTTTTATTACTATTATTTAAGATTATTATTACTATTATTTTAAAATTATTATTAAAATTATAATTATTAAGACCAGGAGGGAAACACTATTAAGGGTAATAATAATACAGTGTAATAATATAGATACGACATAATAGTAATTTCAGAAAATCTTTATTGTTCTCAAATATTTTTATTTTTTAAAATATTAAATAAAATTAAACCTAAATTCAAAATTTAATTTAAAGGTTCCATTTATTACAGCAAGAATAGTAGTAAATAATATTTAACGGTACGAGTTAAGACAAAAATTGATAAACAATGCAAATTTAGAAATTATATTGAATTACATATTTACTGTAAATTATATAAATTATATAAAAAATAAACTACATAATTAATATTACGTGGCATAACAATATCATTTTTTTCTCTAATTAATGATATTCTATTGATAGAAAGTATAAAATTGACATCATATATAATAAAAGTTTATTACTCACGTACGAAAAATATAAAAAAGAAAAGATATTATTAATATAATTAATATAAATATAATAATTTAATGATAAACATGTAATTAATATAGTTTGGTAGTAAAAACAATTCGATGATCACAATTAAATTTTCATTCAAACATGAACACGACGACCATGACAACTGTAAGAAAAATATTTCGAACAATATATTTCTTAAGTACACGGACAAAAGGATCTATTAATATTTGAGATTTTGACCTAAAGAGGAAATTTGAATGCATTTTAGGTAGGATGGCAACAGAAATAGCATCCCCTGTTTCAGATTTCGTTTTTGGTAAGCCTTATTATTAACATTTATTTTGTTTTATATTAAAAGTTGACTTATTTTTTTGTTTATATGTTATTAATACATATATACTTATTTATTTACATATATCTTTATATTGTAAGCAAAAAAAAAAGTATTGATTTATTGATAAGAAAGATTTCTAATTAGCTAAAAAAAAAATTGCCGGGTTTTTATGGTAGAAATTGAAAATAGGCAAAATCAAATATTTATTTTTTATTATTATTTATACCAATACCAATAATAAGAAATAATCTTTTTATAATTATCTCCTTTATTATTCATTTATATGAAGCAATATACAATTGTTGATAACTTTGATAATCTTGATAATTTTGATAATGAAGAAGTTGAATTATTTCAAGCTTAGAAGACTGAATGAAAGACATGACAAGCAATCCATCTCACATTGTTTCTATTTTTGTATATGAAATCATTTTCAACGGGAAGTGTTTCCAATTTTTTCACAGTCTTTTTATTACGGACATTATTGTAAGTATGAAATCAGATGAAGAAATATGTAATTTTTTAAATATAGAGCACATTGATTTGGTTGATCTTTTATTATTGTGAAGGTGATTAAGATTTGCAAAGACAATTTTTGCTCTTCAATATAATATCTGCGGATAATAAAATGGTATTATTAAAATGTTCCCATTTTTATTCATTTGATCTTTACGCTTTAATTTTATAAAAAAAGTACCGGATACAACTATAGAAAGAACATCCAAATAAAATATCTTGGTTCACGGGTGACAGGTAATAGATGACAAATAAATTATTTACCCTTGCATTTAGTCATATGATAAAAAAATTTATAATTAGTATATAATATAATAAATATAATAAAATAAAATAAAGTAAAATAATGATTTTTTCGGAATTATAATTGCACAAATTTATATTTATGTTAAGTTCTAAAATAAATATGTCACATGATTCACAATTTAAATTGTTATGTTTATATTTTTAAAATTTTTTTGTTACTTTTGTTATTCAAATTAAATTTAAACGACTAAACAATGAAATTAACGAGAATAATAGTAATAACGTTTTCATAAATTACTTATTATTGTTGTTTTAATTAATTGATACATAATGATGTGCACGAGTACATGGTATCACATTAATATTTTAGTGTTGCACACATAAATAAATTTACCTTTCTAATTTTTTTTAATAGATAGACACGCATAAAATCCAAATATAATAAATATAATGACTATATATTTATAAAAGGAAAAACATATTATAAATGAAAGAGGAGGTTTAGTGTTTCAAAAAAAATATTAAAAATCATATTTTTTTTCAGAAATTTATTGGAAGATAAAGATAATGAAAAATTCTAGTTGTCCAACAACATCAATTAAGTTTTTAATTTATCCATAATGAACAAGAATATTAAAAATTTTCTTAATAGTAGTATTAAAAAGATTGTTTCAGAATTTTTGGGGTGTGCGATTTTAAAAAAAAATGAATTGATAATGAATACTATATCAAGAACCAAATAAAGGAGCGTGAATAAATAATATTTTTTGGCTGTTAAATTGTATAAATATGCATATATAGTTCTATAAATTTATCCAAGATCATAAGGTCATTGATGAGATTCTTTAACCTTATTGATTTCTCTTTTTTAATTACACCAAAGTTTCTTATCCTAAGATAAAAATAGAAACAGAAACGCCTCGTTGCATCCGATTTATTTAATTATTCAATATAGATAAATAAGAATTGATATTATGATGCTGTTTATCTTGGCGTTTTTTTTTTATATCCGTGATCTGATTCGATGAACGGAACTTTTTAGATTACTAAAATATCTAAAATATATTATAATAATGCTTTAATTGAAAGAATACAATAAATATTATAAAATTAAAATGTGATCATCCATTTACGCGAATATTTTTATTTTTAAGCGTGTTTATTGTTGAAATAGACGTGTTATTTTAAAAAAAAATCTGTAAATGAAATAATAATAATACAGAAAGTAATTATTTGGACGTGTAAATGCGCAAATTGTATATTTCTGTGCTTAAACATGTTAATAAACCAGAAATATTTCGAACACAATAAATATTTGTGGTGTTATTATAACAGATAAATAGAAAGATAGTATTTCTTATATTATTCACTGTACTTTTTATTTCAACTCCTTTGTATTTCTTTCCATAACGCGAAAGAAAAATACCTAATGCGTTTCAAATTTATTTTGTTGTAGTGTTATCACGTGAGTGATTTGGTAAATCATTTTAATCCGACTAAGCTAATTAGATACTAACTATTTTATAAAGAATTAATTTTTTTTTTAAGATCGGACGTTTATCAGTACAGGAATTTCACTTATCTTATATAAACTCTACAACTTTACTTAAAACCAGAGTTTATAGTATGTACTAATAATTAGAACTTTATTTAACCTAATTAAATATTTGTATTATTGCAATTGTACTATAAAATAAATATTTTCTAAACAAAAATTCTTAATTGCTAGTATCTTTAAACTTTTTTAAATAAATTTCCCTCGAGCTTTACTTTCATGAAATATATTTTAATTAATCTTTAATAACATTTCAAAGACTACTTACATAAAGGAGAAGGAAAATTTGAATTGTTGAATCATCCCAAGTCCACGGTAAGAAATAATAAAAAAAAATATAAGGAGCACCACAACATTACAGACCTAAAATTTATATAAAGAAATGTAATCAAAATTACTAAAGAAAATAGAAATAAAACTCTGAAAGAGATAACTGAAAACTTTAATACTGCAATGTCTCTACTAGAGCAATATATAAAAAAGGTTATTGCAAATATGAAGCAAAAAAGAAATTTTATTATTTCAGAAATAAATCAAAAAAAATGATTTGAATGGTAAAGAATACAAAAAAATTGGATTGAATGGAAAAAATTATTTGAAGTGATGAATCTAGATTTGAACTTTTTAATAACAATAACAATAATACAAGTTGGTATGAAAAAGAAGAAAGATATATAGTTAACTGTTTAAAGTCAACAGTTATTAATTCAATAGGAGTTATGTTTTTGTTATAATAAATTGGGTCTGTTAGCATTATTTGAAGGAATAGTCAATTCTAATAATATATTGAATTTTTTGATAAATATTTAGTTCCATTTTAGGTGCATAGTTGTATTTTTAAGATGATAACGAACGAATCTGTATTTGTTATACTTAAATTAAAACAAAAACTTGGAAAGAAAATAATTCAATTGAATTTCTTCATGGCCTGTTCAAATTCCTGATCTTAATCTAATTGAAAATTTGTGGTACATGTTAGAAAGAAAAAATTAGAATGTGAAGGTCTATTCTAAAAAAAAAATGAATTTTTTGAAGTATTAAAAGAAGAATGAAATAAAATTGTTGAAATCAAACTTATTCATTTGGTAAAAGGTGGAATTAGTGTTATAATAAAGAATAGAGAGAACTATTCATTTAAGAAAAACATGCAATATTATTAAATTCTGATCTATTTTTTTCTAATTAATAAACTTGAGGCAAGGACTCGGAACAAAAAAATAAACTCTGATCATACCTAAGTAAAGTATTAATTTTTACTAGATATCAATAAAATTAATATTAAACAAAAGTTGTAGATTTTATTAAGAACTACGATATGTTGCATCTATTTTGATATTTATGGATATTAACGACAAAAATTAGATTTGGTTTCATTTCTGCACTGATAAGTAATACTAAAAAGTTTCAGACCTATTACTAAAAGAATTGAATGAAAACGCTCAAAAATTATAATATAAGATTTAAACATTTATTTTTTCACTCAATTCTAAAGAAATAGGTTCATTTTTAATATTTTATTGTTATTATTATTTTTTAATTAATGTTTTATTAGTAAATAGCTAACTTAAATATGTTTGTCATATTTTTAATAAATTTTATTTATGCTTAAGTAAAGTTTAAATTCACTAGTAACTATGAAAAATGTTTCTAAGTTAAGCTGTAGATATTGTTTTCCAGATATAATTCTTTATGAGGTATCTAATTTTGATGTTGATCAAATCCGATAGAGATTATGATTAAAGATTAAAATAAAGAAAATTGCTAAAGCTCACCAGTGGTGATTGTCATCACTGGGCAAGATTAAATTTACGTGGGCAAAGTTAGGGTTAAGAGTTGATCAGGGAATTATGTAATTTTGCCCGGCGGTGACAATCACTACTGGTGAGCTTTAGCAATATCCTAAAATAAATTAGTATTTTTGGTTAGATGTCCAATTTTAATAAAAAAGAAATTCATATAGGAATAAATTTTGTGGAGTTATTGTGTCACAATTTTACATTGAATTTTTAATAATTATTTTTTTTGATCACTCTTAACATTATAGAGAAATAAAATTTTTTAGTTTCTGTGATAATTTCTATTAAAAACTTTATTAATAGTATGAAATAAAATATTTTTATATCTATATTTATCTTTATCTCTCTGATGAAGTAATCAGGTTTGCTTAAGGAAATTTAATAAACAAAACATACTCTTGTAAAATTACCTATGATCACGGGTTGATCTCCCCCTATCAAAAAAATTCTAAATATGGATACAATGAATGGATGTATCACATTACTCAAACTCTCGTGACTAAACAGTTATATGAAAAATCTAACTATAATTGTAATTCAAGATGGAGGTTTGATTTTCATCTTTATTGTTTCTCTCTTCTTCAACAAGTTATTGGGGAATACTATAATGACCAGAGTTAATAATACTAAGGAAAAGAAACTTTGATATAAATTTATTTAATAAATTACCAAAAATGTCGAATATTAGTAATAGCCGCAAAAGTCCGCAGCCCATTATTTATCATAATGGATATTTTCATTATGTTGAAGATAATATTTCCAAAACTTCTGATAATAATGAGAAATATGCGTTATTTAAGATTTATAATTTGAATGTATGAATTTATTAATTTTATCAGTTATTCACTGTTTTTTTCTTCTTTCTTTTTTGATAATAAAATGTTTGTAATATATTATTTACACAATTTTTTTTTTTTTTTTGATTTTAATGATTTTCTCTTTCTTCGAATTATATCAATGTGGTTTGACAGAAATCATTTGCCGAACTCAAAAATGAAATTATTGAAACCATTCGAGGAGGAAATATAGATGTAATTTTGGAAGATGAAATTTCGATATCTCCAATCTCTAGCTCAGATAATAGTTCAAGTTCGCTACATTCGGAATCCATTATGGATGGTTCTTTTGTTGCTGTGGGAGGAATTGATAAAATTTACAAGACAAAGGTATTTTTTGATTACTTTATTTTTCGATATTATTCGATATGTTCTATATTTTTCAATATATTCTATATTTTTTAATATTCTTTCAATTGTTGATATAAAATTTTTTTTAATAATTAAATTAATAATAAATTTATTTATTTTTATCTACTTTAAAAGATTAGAATTACTTTCGAAAACCTTATTCATCAAAATGTGGTAGAATTTTTGGGATCATCAGAATCAATCAAAGCATTTACTGAAAATGGTTTTGCTGATTGGATTCCACTTGATTTTATCACTTACGACGTTATTTTAAAATTATCAAATTATGAAGAAAACAATGAACAACAACCAAATCAACTTAGATCTTTTAATGATGAAATTGACGAAGCTTCATTGAATGCTATCGTTGAAGAATTAGCTAACAAAGAAGAAGAAATTGCATTAGAGAAATTATTTCCGGGCAAATTTATAAGCGCCTATCGAGAAGTTAATGCTATTAAAGATGTTAAGATGGATATTCACTTTGTAGATATTCAACATGAAATTGATAATGAGTTTGGAAAATTATTTATTGAAGCTTTGAATTCTATTATTGAAGATAGGAAAATTTACAAGAATAATGATGTTTGTATATTTATTTAGAACAATTTTTATATAATTTTTTATATTACAATTATTTTATATCTTTCTAACACTTTATTATAAATTATAATTATTATTAGTTGGTTTATGAACCATTCTTTAAAACAGTTATTTATTTACTATTTCTCATAAGAAATATGATGTTTCTTAATGAATCATGTGGAGAATTAAAATTTCCTTCATGGAAACCTTTTGTTTCTTCTCAACAAAGGCGAAAAGTAACCAGAGACGAAATTTCAGCAAATTATAATTTAATCGAACAAGAATTAATTCAAACTGAAATATCTGAAAATGATGGTAAAAATAATAATTTTTATAGACCAAAATTATATCAGAAGTACATAGGAAGTATATTCGTATATATGAAAGTATATAAGAAATATATTAAGTAAATAAGTAGATTTTAATATATATATTTGATTTTCATATATTTTATATAGAACCTTTCGATAAACTTTCTAATGTTGTAAAACAGTTAAGACAAGATATCGAGAACGCTCAAAAAGCATTACGTGATGGTATCTCTAAATGGAGCACGCCAAAGAAAACTACAAGTATTTTGCTTTATGGTTCAATGTATGTTATATTTATTATTATGATTTTTATTATTGACATTTTTATATTTATATTTATTCATATTTTATCTTTATCTTAATATTTTTTTATCACATTTTATATTTTATCTCTTTATATTATATTTATAGTGTCTCAGCAATAGCAATTTCAGTATCATATTTTTTTAATCGAGGAGACAAAGTATACACAAAAGGGAACAATATAAAGGTAATAATTCAATTTTGTCCAGTTAAAATTAAATATCTATCTATCTATCTATCTATCTACCTAAATAACAAAATTCTTAAATTTTAAATTCTAGAATACACTTGGTTGTGTATTTAGTATTGTATCAGGATATTATGCATACAAGACTCATGGAAAGTTTAATAGTTCAATTAATTATTTAAAATCTCTTGAACCATATCTCGCCAAAACCATGGTATCTATAGGTAAACTTGAAATATGGTTAAATAAAGTGAATTACGTTTCTAAACCAAATTATGTTGATGACGAAATTAATAGTAAAGATTTGGGTTTTGATAGTGAAAAAGTATTTTTAGATGATATGAAAGGTAGAAAATTAATTTTTTTGAGATTATTTAATACTTTTACTCCTCTTGCTGCTAATTTGAGAAGTTGTTTGGTGGTGTAAAGTTATTGTTATTGTGGCTACTGTGATTATTATTATATTTTTTAAATATTTTATTGGAAAATTTTAAATTGTTTTTTATTTTATGAATTATATTATAAATAATATTTAAAAATATATCGATATTGCACAAATCACATGTACAATATTAAAATAAAAGCATGCTATAAAACTTGTCGCTTTTCCTGAAATCTAATTCGTTTTTCTTGCCTAGATTGAGTTTCAAGAATCTAAATTAAGCTATTATCTTTCTACTATATTGTTTAATCTTAAATCACTTGAAATATATTAAGAATTTCATTTTGCTTTCTATAGGTACTCGTCCCATTTAATCTCACTCTAGACACTTTATGTTTTATGTGGTACTTTTTTTTGCAACCTAACTAGCAAATAGTTATAAAGGTTTATGATGTAATAAAAGTTGTCAGTGTGATATATATATTTTTAGGTCTTTAGAAGTTTTTAGAGCCTCCAACTAATTAATTTGTTACCTAATATCTTGCTTTTTGACAGATATATTAGGAGCCAAAAAGTGTCAACATTTTTTTGATACCTATTTAGGACCTGACAATTTTTAGTTCGAACTTCTATAATTATTGGGTAGCAGATAGATAATATTTTGATCTGTGCGGGAAAAATGACAAGCAACTCAATTTAAAAATATGTAAAAAATAAAAGCTCAATGTGGGTAAAATCTATATTATTTTTCAATTATGCAATTATTATTATTCTTAACCTAGGGTAGCAAACAAAGCATCAGATAAAATTCTTTCTTCCCAACTATTATATTATTTTCATACACAAAAGCAATCTTTTTTTCAATATATTCAACATGCTTCCGATTTAGCTTGATTCTATCTTGGTTCATGGAGAATGGATATCAATCCTTTCTTTCTTCACCTGCTCAGTTAAAATCTATTAATATTCTATGATATTGACTTTCTTATTTGTAAACCAAAATATTAGATACTAAATCAATATTATTATCATCATGTTGGAGCGAATCATACACACAGAGTTGCTCGGGGTATAATCCATCATTAATATGATGAATCTATTATTTTTTTTACTAATATTGAAAAAAACTGGTGCTTGCCTACACAATTTGTGTTTTTCTCATAAGCAATCTTGTTATCAGGAAATTATATAGGCATTGCATAATATTACGCAAGGACAATGATTATAAAATTTATTTAGCTCATTGGTTTCCAACTGCAAAGCTTCAAGAAAGGTCACACAATTCGTTCTAAATGGACTTGTCATTGGTATAAATGAGAGGTGTAAAATCTGTTAGAAGATCCATAAGCAATTTTCAACACATACTCCGACCAGCTAAAAGTGAGAGGAGGCAACAACCAGTTTCTTTTTTTTTGCTGAGTACAAAATCTTAAATAATATGTTAGATAATAACTGTCAGCATTTTTTATTTCTATAAGAAGACAATACAATTTTGGAGTGACAATTGCACTCCAAAACTCCATGGTTCACACTAGTATAAATCTGCCATGCTACAAATAAATTCAAGGTCCATTGATAATGTTCTTTTTTTACAACCAATTTTTCATTATGGTAATTGTTCAGAAAACTTTATGATACAATTTACTCTGAAAGGTGATAAACCATTTTGATACATCATCAACTGGAAACTGAGCAAAATTTGATGACCTAAAATATTCTGTGTTTATTTGTTCTATAAAGTTGATCGAGACAAAAAATACTGCAAAGAATTAAACATTAGATATAGCCAACCTTCTTCATAATCCAAGATTGAATGTAAAAATACGATTAGTTATATATATTTATGAAAACTCTCTTACAAAGTTGTTAGCTGTTTCACTTTGGGTTGAAAGGATAAAATAGCAAAAGTTAAGTTTAGTGAAAAAATAGTCAGAAAAATATTCGGAGCAGGTGACGGTTTCTTGCCAAAGAACACTTTCCATAGTTTATGGTAAGAGAAAACATTCTCAAACTTAGGGTGATTAAAAAAATCGACTAGCTTAACAGAGGTCACGATCACATGACCGATTTCTTCGTGATATCAGGCAGAGTTAAAAACTTGGGGGTATACTACGGTACGAAACGCTATTTTGTACTGTACGAATAGTGACCTGTACGATTTATTTGTGGCTTGAACGGGTTGATAAACTGGTATCACGTGATATTTTTAACCGTGGGATTTTATCTGGGTGATATATAATTGTGACGAATAATATCACCCCTAATTGATTTGCACGTGACACAAACCCTAGATAATAATATATATCACAGGGGTTGGGTTTTTAATATAAAAATACTTGTACTGTACGGTTTTTTAACATAAAAAAAGTTCATACAGTACAATTAGATTTTTATAATATATATATTAAATTTATATAAAATCGTACAGTACAAAATAGCGTTTCGTACCATACAGTTTATCGTCATACCTTAAAAACTTTGTGAAAGAATGTGTGCATGTGATCTAAAACAGCTTGTGCAATATCTATAAGTTTATTATATTAGAAGTATTAGAATTTAACATAAACATTCCGAGAAGCTTTTTCGTTAATTTCCTACTTCTCAAGATACATTTATTTTCAGAATATACAGAAATTAAAAATACACATTGTAATAATTTATTTTATTATTATTATTGTTACAATTATTATAATTGTTGTTATTATTGTTAAAATTGTTTTATAATCTAAAATTGTCTGAAATTATTCCTTAAATATCTAAGATTACTTTAAAGGAACTAATAATCTTAATATTATTGAGGATGAAGTTGAGATAATAATATAGAAAACCTTCTACCCCCTCTTGTACTATGAACGCTAAGATTAGAATTATTGCTAGAACTAGATCCTGATGATGACCTATTATTGTTTACATTATTTTGTCTAATCTCATTCATTCTTGGTATCACTTTTAATACTTCATATTCATCTACTCGAAATCTATCATGATTTGAGATCATTAATGGTCTTTCGTATGATTGCCGTTTACACGAACATCCTAATTCTACATTAAAATTTGAATGTGTTCCTCCCATCACCAAATCTCCGCTCCCGAAGCATGCTCCGATCGCTTGCGAACATAATACCGCTCGACTATGTTCTTGTACTCTTGATAAAATTGAATTTCGAATATCTTCTCCATCTCCCAATGAAAATAGAAAACTGTCTTTTGTATTACCCCATTTATTTGTGGAATCCCAATTTAATGGATTATATCCACCTATTAAATGTCCTGAACCATGAATTTTTAATACTAATATTGTTGCACCTTGAAAATCACATTTATTATGAAATGCTTGAGGTGAGAATCCATCTCTACTACCACGTAATAATAATTTAAAATCAAATGACATATTACTATAATATTCATATGGAATACTAGTTATATTATAAAATACATTAAAATCATTATGATCTATCCAACTAGAAATTAATGCTGCATGTTTAGTTCGTAATAAATTAGATTCAATATCGCCTCTTCTTGACGGCATTAATGAGGTAGGTCGAGGACAATCGGGTATCATATGATATTTCATAACTTCTTCAAAAAGTGTATGTGGTAAAATATCTTTATATGGAATTACTTTACGATAAAAATCTTTAGATGAAATTTGAAATAATCTAATTAGTGGTACACATTGTTGTATAGTCGATTGAAGAATTGATTTATGTTCAGATGACCATTTTGATATTGGGATTTGCGTGAGATCAATATATGAATTTGAAATTGAAATTGAATTGAATTTTGAATTTAAATCTGAATTTGAATTTGAACTTAAATCTGAATTCGAATTTGAACTTAAATTTGAATTCGAATTTGAACTTAAATTTGAATTCGAATTTGAACTTAAATTTGAATTCGAATTCGAATTTGAATTTGAATATAAAGAATTATCATCCGATAATACTTTCATAGCTGTTTGAAAGATTCCCCATTGTATCAAATAATTCCAAACTTCAATTTCATCCAATTGAAGATCATCTCGTTGAAATACTCTTAATAAAACATTAATATTAATTGAATTATAATCATCCGTATTAAACAATAATTCGGGTTCTTTACAAATTCTATCAACGCAATATTCTTGTAATCTCTTTAATCGATCATTTTGAAATACTGTTCGACGCACCAAACTAAAATTTTCATGCATCCACTGCGTTTTATATGTGATTAAATGTTGTTGAATATATCCAAATAGATCATGGAGAATTAATTCATCGGCTGCCATTAATAGATTAAGAAGATCCGTTCCATCTTGTTGTTCCAATGGTATTTTTCCCGTATACACATATCTGTCATATATATATATGCAAATAATTTTATGTGGAAATTTTGCATTGAGAACGTAAAAAGTAAGAGAAAGAAAGAGAAAAAGGCAAAGAAAGTGAAATACAAAAGAATACGATAACAATGAATACTAACCGAAGTATAACTTCAAATACTTTAGCAGAAATATTTGGTTTTGTAAATATAATTATTCCATCTTCTTGTTTTATCCAAGTATCCGATAAAGCTGCTTGAAAATAAGGACATCTTGCTCTAAGAATACCTGAATGAGCTTTAAATGATTTAGTGTTAGGTTCTTCACCAACTTGGATCAATACATTATAATCGACACCTTTTTCCAATAATCGATTTAAGTCATGTAATAAAATAGCATTGAAATCTGTAGGCATCGGTGAAAAACAATAAACAAGAAAAAAATGGGTAAAAAAATGAAAATAAAGATGAAATAAAATGGAAGAAATGTGAAAAAAAATGAAATAACAGGTTTAAATTGATGATAATAAAAAGTAAGAATAAATATATATCGGTGAATAAACCTGATTTGATAGAATTAATTTAGTATATAAAGTTATTTTCCGAGAATATTAAACATTAAACACACGCAGATAAAGAAACGTTTCAGGTACAATTTATTTTTAAAACATGAAACCTTTCTTCGTACAACCAAAGTATATTAGAGATAATGTCAATCAAAATTGCTATTTTCTAAATTTAATTTAAGATAAAACAAGTTTGGAGAAGATAAAGAAAAGATAGATGAGATAAATATGGTATGAAAATATGATGTGACGAAAAGAGAGAAAAAAATGATATACAAGAGAGGAAAGAAAAAAAAAAAAAGAGAAAAAGAGAAAGAATAGGAATAATCAAATTTCGGGAAATATAAAAGAGTGTTTAATAGGCATACGAGACATATGATAATCTGACTAGAAAAAACCAAAGGGAGAATGTGATTATATTATTATCTTAATTTGAATCATTGATGTTAAGTATTTTTATTTATACACATCGAATACTGTTTATTTGAAGATCAATGCATTATGTTAATCCAAATATTCTTTCTTTGTATTCCATTTCTTTTATTTGTGTACGAATTTTATGGTCCTTATGGATTGGTGAATCCAGATTTATTTTGGACATTTTGCATTTCATTATTGATTTAATATTTATTATAATATTTATAAAATATTAAGAAAAATATCTTTAACAATATCCAAAAATATCATCGGTTTAAAAAAGAAATTATAAAAATGACATTTAAGAAAAATAAACCAGAAAACTGTTAAAATCTATTCTATCTACATTCTTATTATCAAAAAAACTAGAATGGACAAATTTCTACTATTACTATTACTAAACTAATCGTGACCCGCACCGACCGACTGTTCCCATCCACATGCGTGCACACTATGAAATGCAAACAACTTTGGCATGATGTTTCCATTTTTATTAGTAAATAAAAATAAAATACAAATAAAATAAAAATAAAAAAGACAATATTTTACATGAGGTATATATACAGCATCTTTCTCATGTCTCTTTATGTAACTTTGCAATACAAATACTAAAAATTAATGCAACTCTATATGTATTAATTAATTATTCTATTTCAGATGACAAATTCAACAATTAAAGCAGCCATTCTTTTCAAATTTATTTATTATTTTTATTATTTTACAACTAGGTTGTCTAATAAACTAATTTGTTTTAAAATATTTCAATTTTATAAAATATAAAAGTTCTAAATTATTCTTAAATATAATATTAATGTCTAAATTTAAATATCAAAATTCTATAGACATCTTTATTATTCTAACACTTTTTTATCATACAAAAGAAATAAAGGTTACTTCAAGTCTTCTTTGTCATTTTTTTTTTACATATAATACATTCTTCTACTTTATATTTATATACAAGTCCATTGAAAAGAGCTAAGCTAATTCTGGAACATATTATTCACCTTTCAAATGGAAATTTTTCCTGTTAACATAATTTCAATACTATATATATATCAGAAGTTGGATTTTATTCGACATAAACTTTTCGTAATTATTTACAGGAGTTGCGCCACATTTGTCATAATTGATTACGTCACTTTTTTACAAGTATTATTATAATTAATCCGACCTTCAAGTGTAGACATTTTATTGGGTTCTAAGATTAAAAAAAAAAAAAAAAATTTAAAAAGCGTTATTTGTATTTGTATCAAATTCTTTATATATAAATTTTATAATTTGAAAGTATTAAAAAATAAAAAAATAAAAATAACCAGAAATATGAGATACAGATAAATATATCAAAGATTAAACTAATTCAAACACTAATGAAGATAATGGAAATATGATACTGATTTGAGTGGCATATATTACAACACCCACTTTTAAACGATACGCATTTAAAGTCACAAAAACAGCAAAATTAATAAAAGAAGAAATAACTGAGTTTCGTCGTGTAAAAAATGCTGGTAATTTATTAAAACTTATGACTAAAGGTCAAGAATATATTAAAAAAAAATTCTAACAATTAACGAAATTGAAATGATATTGTATTTATTTATTTATTATATAATATGTTTAAGTAACAAAGAAAACAAATAGTCGAATCGTTTACCTGTGAACGTTAATCTTTCAGATAACAAGGGATTCTAACTGCTTCAACTTTAATGGATAAACATTGTTTTACAAAACTTCCCATGTTTATTTTAATAATACTTTATAAAGATATTTTATCAAGAAATTCAATTGCTTACAGATACACAGAGAATGTCTACTAATAACTATACTGAAAGAATGTTACATTTATTGAAAGGCTTTATGAATTAAAATTATTAAGTGAAAATTATGAAAAATTTAAATGAGCGGAGAACTTGCCAAGTAACTTATGAAACTAGACTTGTTACTTTTTAATGAACAATTTATTGAAATACAGTGGTGTGCAAAAAAAATGGCAATCATTTAAATTACGTTTATTCAACAACCGTTACACCAATTAACATG